TCAAAAAGAACATTTCAAGATCTATCCTGAAGTACAGCGCTGTCAGTGATAGGATAATATCCATATGCCTACAAGGAAGACCAGTTAATACAACTGTTACTCAAATTTCCACACCAACCACTAAGGCCAAAGATGAAGAAATTGAAGATTTTTACCAACTTCTGCAGTCTGAAATTGATCAGACATGCAATCAGAATGCATTGATAATTACTGGTGATTGGAATACGAAAGTTGGAAACGAAGAACGATCAGTAGTTGGAAGATACGGCCTTGGTGATAGAAACGGTGCTGGAGATTGCATGATGGAATTTTGCAAGATCAATGACTTCATTGCAGATACCTTTTTTCAACAACATAAACGGCGACTATACACGTGGACCTCGCCAGATGGAATACACAGGAATCACATCGACTACATCTGTGTGTGGAAAGAGAGACTATGGAAAAGCTCAGTATCATCAATCAGAACAAGGCCAGGGGCTGACTGCAGAACAGACCATCAGTTGTTCATATGCAAGTTCAAGTTGAAACTGAAGAAAATTAGAACAAATTGACAAGAGCCAAAATACGACCTTGAGTATATCCCACCTGAATTTAGAGACCATCTCAAGAATAGATTTGATGCATTGAACACTGATGACTGCAGACCAGACGAGTTGTGGAATGACACAGAGGACATACATGAAGAAAGTAAAAGGTCATTAAAAAGACAGGAAAGAAAGAAAAGACCAAAATGGATTCAGAAGAGACTCTGAAACTTGCTCTTGAACGTTGAGTAGCTAAAGCAAAAGGAAGAAATGATGAAGTAAAAGAGCTGAACAGAAGATTTCAAAGAGCGGCTTGAGAAGACAAAGTATTATAATGATATATGCAAAGACCTGGAGATAGAAAACCAACAGGGAGGAACACGCTCGGCATTTCTCAAGCTGAGGGAATTGAAGAAAAAGTTCAAGCCTTGAGTTGCAATATTGAAGTATTCTATGGGGAAAATATTAAACAATGCAGGAAGCTTCAAAAGAAGATGGAAAGAATACACAGAGTCACAATACAAAAAAGAATTGGTCAATGTTCAACCATTTCAGGAGGTAGCATATGATCAGGAACTGATGATACTGAAAGAAGTCCAGGCTGCACTGAAGGCACTGGCGAAAACCAAGTCTCCAGGAATTGACGGAATGCCAATTGAGATGTTTCAGCAAACACATGCAGCGCTGGAAGTGCTCACTTGTCTATGCCAAAAAATTTGGAAGACAGCTACCTGGCCAACCCACTGGAAGAGATCCATATTTATGCCTATTTCCAAGAAAGGTGATCCAAGCAAATGTGGAAATTGTCAAACAATATCATTAATATCACAGGCAAGTAAAATTTTGCTGAAGATCATTCAAAAGCAGCTGTAGCAGTATATCAACAGGGAACTGCCAGAAATTCAAGCCGGATTCAGAAGAGGACGTGGAACCAGGGATATCATTGCTGATGTCAGATGGATCCTGACTGGAAACGGAGAATACCAGAAAGATGTTTCCCTGTGTTTTATTGACTATGCAACAGCATTTGACTGCATGGATCATAACAAATTATGGATAACATTGAGAAGAATGCAAACTCCAGAACACTTAATTGTGCTCGTGAGGAACCTGTACATAGACCAAGAGACAGTCGTTCAAACAGAACAAGGGGATATTGCATGGTTTAAAACCAGAAAAGGTGTGAGTCAGGGTTGTATCCTTTCACCATACTTATTCAATCTGTATGCTGAGCAAATAATCCAAAAAACTGGATTATATGAAGAAGAACGGGACATCAGGATTGGAGGAAGACTCATTAACAACTTGAGTTATGCAGATGACACAATCTGGCTTGCTGAAGGTGAAGAGGACTTGAAGCACTTACTAAAGAAGATCAAAGACCACAGCCTTCAGTATGGATTACACCTCAACATAAAGAAAACAAAAATCCTCACAACTGGACCAATAAGCGACATCATGCTAAACGGAGAAAAGATTGAAGTTGTCAAGGATTTCATTTTACTTGATCGACAATCAACACCCATGGAAGCAGCAGTCAGGAAATCAAAGGATGCATTGCATTGGGTAAATCTGCTGCAAAAGACCTCTTTAAAGTGTTGAAAAGCAAAGATGTTACCTTGAAGACTAAAGTGCACCTGACCCAAGCCATAGTGTTTTTAATTGCCTCATATGCATGTGAAAGCTGGACGATGACTAAGGAAGACCGAAGATGAATTGACGCCTTTGAATTGTGGTATTGGGGAAGAATATCGAATATGCCATGGACTGCCAAAAGAACGAACAAATCTGTCTTGGAAGAAGTACAGCCAGAATGCTCCTTAGAAGGGAGGAATGGCGAGACTTCGTCTCACATACTTTGGACATGTTATCAGGAGGGACCAGGCCCTGGAGAAGGACATCATGCTTGGTAAAGTAGAGGTTCACTGAAAAAGAGGAAGACCCTCAATGTGATGGATTGACACAGTGGCTGCAACAGTGGGCTTAAACATAGCAAGGACTGTGAGGATGGCACAGGACTGGGCAGTGTTTCGTTCTGTTGTACGTAGGGTCACTATGAGTCGGAACTGACTCTATGGCACCTAACAATAACAACAACAATTATATATTATATATATATATACATAAATATATGTGTGTGTGTGTGTGTATATATATGAACACACACACACGCTCCCATTTTACCTGTGAGGAAGCTGGAACTTGGAGAGGCTTGTCAGGGCATAACAGACTTGAACACTTATCTGTGTTTCCACTGTACTGTGTGCACATCTAGGGGTTGAAACAACACCAGCAGTTATGGTGTTTTATTTATTCTACGCCTGTATATAATGGAAATGTTCCAAGCCAAGAAACAGTTCCATTGCAGGGATATCAGTTATTACTACCTTCATAAAGTGAAAATTTCCGGCAGGGAAAGGGAAAGTGCTTTGAGATATTAGATAACTTTACAAGCCCAAGTGTGGATCTAGGCCAGCAAATAGCATGGGGCTATGAGGGCTTCTGGGCCACAGTGATTCTGGGTATCAAGGGAGGTGTCAGATTTAGAGATGCCCCTCTTTGACCCTTTGAGTCCCTCACTAAGAACGGAACCTGCCTCTTGAATACTAGTTTGACTGGCTGGTATCCTCGAATCCTTGCCTAGTATTTGCACTTCCCTTTCTCCTGGGGCTAAGCTCTTCTTTCTCATCCCTTCCTATCTATTCAGAAGGACTTTCCTGAATCTGGCCATACACGGCTGATGTCCTAGTAAGGGGATACCTACATCTTGGCCGTTGGTCAGCAAACTTTTTCAAACCCCTCTCAGGTGGGCAGAGAGATTGCCCTGTTCTGTCAGGCGTGTTTTTCTTTGGCTGAGGGGCTGGGATGGGCTAGACACAGCTGAGCCACACAGCTGAGGCCATTTTGCAAATAAGGAAATAGGCTCAGAGCCATTATTGGTGGTGGTTTAGTGGAGTAGAGCAGGGAGAAACTGATAATAAATACCTTTTCTAAGTAACATGAGCTACAGTAAAATATAGTTATCCCTAAAGAAATTTCCAAAGCAGGAATTATATAGTTTTCATACATGTTCAGTGTACAATTATTTGTTTTTACCTTTGGTGTCACTGTGGGGGTAGTTAATTAGAACCCACAGGAAATCAATTGCAAGAAAGCATAAGGGAGATACATACCGTATTGCCTTTTTTTTGGATGCATGATGTATAAAGAAACTAATGAAACAGAAAGCAAAAATTATCTGCCTGAGGAAGGCCCTGTGCCACATTTTTAGTAAACTGTTTCTGTCCTTTCAGTTTAGTGTATTAGAAATAAAACTACAGCCATTTGAATATTTTCTTCCTTTTTCAGTTCCCATATGTGTCTGTGATCTCGTAAGCTTTGAAATTAAAAAAAAAAAAAAACCTCAAAAGAAATATTCTGGATAAAAAAAGTGACAATTGGAATAGAAAAAACATTAAGGCGTGCTGTGTATTGTGTGTTAAGAACGGAGATTGTGAGTTTCAGTCCTATCTCAAGCATTCTTCTGTGGCCTTAAATCAGCATTATAACAGAGTTCCCACAATTTCATAAATGTCACAGTCTGAGATATGGAGGAAAAAGAAACATCTAGAATCAAAAGATACTCGAATTTTCATCTTTGCCAGGCTCCCTCCACATAGGCCAGAAGCACAGATACATAATATAAATACGTGTTAGAAGAATCAACACATACTTACAGGGAGTGGGCAAGGGGGTGGGGAGTAGTTGAGTCTCAGTCTGTATACAGCTTTTAGCACAGGATTGGTATCTGTGGAAGGGTATGGTGCAGATAGAGGCAGACAGGATTTAAGCCTTCGTATTTTCTGTGATTCTTCTATCTCTGCCCTCTCAGGTGTTTTTCTTGAGTACAAAATGTTGACATTTGGCAGAAGGAAAAAAAAAAAAACTCTGATACTCTTTGGCTACTGAGAATGAAGTCTGAAGGAGAGGGAGGCCTAAGCGATCTGAAACCTACTAGAGACTTCACATCTGTTTTCACTTGGGAGCAATGTATTAACTAACACAAAAAACAGTTAGTCCTAGTAACACCTTTTGTTGCAGTTCCAAGGGCAACCTATTTAATCACCAGATAAGTTTTTTCTGCATTGACAATACAAATAACGTTATAGGGTTGCCTTGTTTTTTAAAGAAAAAAAATGATTTTAAGGGGGAAAAAAACTCAGATTTTTTTAACTATGGTTTCCTAAAGATTGTGAACTCAGCTATTCATCTGCAGCATTTTTAAACCATGTAGATATGGCTGTAGAAACGAATTTTAAGTGGTTTAAAAATCTCTGTATAATCTTTTCTTTGTAAATATTATTCAATAGCAAACTCCTAGAAAAAAGGGAACAATATTTGATATATTTGTCAGAAAAATCATGTAAGGTGTGTGCTGTTAATTATTGCTATTATACTACTATTTCTAAAATCTGTTTTCTATTCTCTTTATAGGCAGTGGTTGATGCTTGCAAAATAATGGGGAAAAGGAAATTTATTGGCCAAGTGTTGGAAGATGAACATCTTTTTCAGAAGTTCAAAGTAACTGATGTAATAGATATTGTCACAATGAAAGATTACATGCAAGTAAGGAATTTAGATTTAGATGTTGAAAATGAACAAACAAACAAAAAGCCTTCCTGACCCTGTCCTCCAAGAAGAAATAATCCTACTTTTTTTTTATTGTGGTAAAATACAACATAAATGTACCATTTTAACTATTTTAAAGTGTGCAATTCACTTTAAGTACATTCACAGTATTGTGCAACCATCACCACCATCTAGTTCCAGAACATTTTCATCACCCCAAAAGGAAACCTTGTACACATTAAGCAGTCATTCCCCATTCTCCCCTCACCCCAGCCCTGTCAACCACTAATCTATTTTCTGTTTCTATGGATTTGCCTATTCTGGGTATTTCATATAAATGGAATCATAGAATATGTGGAATTTTGTGCCTGGCTTTTTTCACTTAGCAAAATGTTTTCAAGGTTCATCCATGTTGTAGTGTGTATTAGTACTCCATTTCTTTTTATGGCCGAATGATATACCACATTTTCTTTATCCATTCACCTGTTGATGGACATCCGTTGATGTGGTATATTGGGTTGTCTCTACCTTTTGGCTGTTGTGAATGGTACTGCTATGAACATTCACATACAAGTTTTTGTTTGAGCAACTGTTTTTAATTATTTTGGGTATGTGCCTAGAAGTGAAGTTGCTGGGTCATATGGTAACTCTATGTTTAACATTTTAAGGAACTGCCAAATTGTTTTCCACAGCAACTGTACCATTTTACATTCCTATTCATAATGTATGAGAATTCTAATATCTCCACATCCTCACTAATACTTGTGATTATCTGTCTTTATCCGTTTTTTTAATTGGGTTGTTTGTCTTTTTATTGAGTTGTAAGAGTTCTTTAAGGAGCCCTGGTTGCGCAGTGGTTAAAGCGCTCGACTTGAAACCGAAAGGTTGGTGGTTCGAAACCACCGGTGGCTCCATGGGAGAAAGATGTGGCAGTCTGCTTCCATAGAAATTTATAGCCTTGGAAATCCTGTGGGGTTGCTATGAATCAGAATCAACTCAACAGCCGTGGGTTTTTTTTTTTTTTTAGAGTTCTTCATATATTCTGGATACTAGACCCTTATCAGATATATGGTTTGCAAATACTTTCCCCCATTCTATGGGTTGTCTTTTCACCTTCTTGATAGTGTCCTTTGATACACAAAAATATTTAACGTTTATGAAGTCCAATTTATCTATTTTTTCTTTTGTTGCTTGTGCTTTAGGTGTCATATCTAAGTAACCATTGCCAAATCCAAGATCATGAAGATTTATCCCTATGTTTTCTTCTAAGAGTTTTGCAGTTTTGGCCCTTAGATTTTAGGTCTTTGAACCATTTTGAGTAAGATTTTGTATATGGTGTGAGTTAAGGATCCAACTTCATTCTTTTGCACATGGTTATCCAGTTGTCGCAGCACCATTTGTTGAAGAGACTATCCTTTCCCCATTGAATGGTCTTGGTACTCTTGTCTAAAATCAATTGCCCATAAATGTATGGGTTTATTTCTGGATTCTCAATTTTATTCCATTGATCTATGTGTCTGTTCATATGCCAGTACCATACTGTTTTGATTACTGTAGCTTTGTAGTAAGTTTTGAAATCAGGAAGTATGAGTCCTACAACTTTGTTCGTCTTTTTCAAGATTGTTTTGGCTATTTGGAATTCTTTGCATTTCATCAGCTTTTCCATTTCTTCAAAAAAGGCCGTTGGGATTTGATGGGGATTACATTGAATCTGTAGATCAATTTGTGGAGTATTGCCATCTTAACAGTGTTAATTCTTTCAGTTTGTGATAATGGGATATCTTTCCATTTGATTTCTTTCAGCAGGGTTTTGTAGTTTTCAGTGCACAAGTCTTGCACCTCCTTGGTTAAATTTTTTTCTTAAGTATTATTTTTGATGCTATAGTAAATGGAGTTGTTTTCTTAATGTTGTTTTCAGATTATTCATTGCTAGTATATAGAAATACAATTGCTTTTTGTGTTTTGATCTTGTATCCTGCAATTTTGTTGCATTTGTTTATTAGCCCTAGTGGTGGTTTTTGTTTTTGGTGGATTATTTGGAATTTATATAGAATCATGTCATCTGTGAAAAGAGATAATTTTACTTCATTTCCAATTTGGATGCCTTTTATTTCTTTTTCTTACCTGATTGCCTTGGCTAGGACTTCCAGTACAATATTGAATATCAATAGTGAAAGCAGGCATTCTTGTCTTTATTTGTGATTTTAGGGGGAAAGCTTTAAGTCTTTCATCATTGACTATGATGTTAGCTGTGGGTTTTTCATAAATGCCATTTATCATGTTGAGGAAATTATTTTCTATCCCAACGTTACTGAGTGTTTTTATCATGAAAAGGTGTTGGCTTTTGTCAAATAGTTTTTTCTGTATCAGTTGAAATGATCATGTGGGTTTTTTTCCCTTCATTCTATTAATGTAGTGTATTCCATTGACTGATTTTCATATATTGAACCACCCTTGCATTCTTGGGACAAATCCCACTTGGTCATGGTGTATAATCTTTTAATCCAATAATGCTGCTGGATGATACATTTTTTAGAATAAGTCACAGTGCTTTTTTTGTAACATGAGAAGACTTTAAGGAAATGTTATACTTGACCCAAAATAGATATGACAAAAGATGAAAATGAGAGTTTAGGCAAAGTGATACTATTCATGAGGTTGACAGGTTTAGCACTGGATCCAAGATACAATGTAAAAAGAAGTTCACAGGTGCTGGTGTCTTAGTTAGGAACGTGTTCATCTGGAAGACAGAAAACTCAAGTAATACAGGCTTACACAATAGGATTTATTTTTTCTTGCTCATGAAGAAGTCTAGAGGTAGGTAGTTGGGGCTGGTACAGAGATTCAGCAATGTCATTAGGGACCCAGGGCTCTGTCCATCTCACCATTTAGCCCTCCAAAGTGGGTAGCTTTCATCCTGATACTTGTCCCTTGTAGCTTCATATTCATGTTCTAAGCAAGAAGGAGGGAGAAGGACAAAAAGTTTTACCTTCTTCTTTAGGAAGGAGCACCCTCCCTGTGAACTTCCATCTACATTTCATTGGCCAGAACTATATCAAGTGTCTACCCCTAGCTGCAGAGAAGGCTGAGTAAACAAATATTTTGTTGGGCGATATTCTTTCAAGAAGGGGAACGTCAGCTAAGCAACTAGCAGTGTATCCACAGCTGATAACATTAGCCTGTAAGTGAACTCCAGGAACTGAGCAAGGACGTAGCAAAAGACTTGAAACAAAATGGAGGTCAAGACTGGGAATCAAGTAAGAACAGTTAGATATTGGGAAATGTTGCACAGGTTTAATTTCATGATAACTAAATTAATTCTGTCCCAAAGCATTTTTTCTTACCTACCATTCCGTACCCGTTGCCGTCTAGTCAGTTCCAACTCGTAGCGACCCTATAGGACAGAGTAGAACTGCCCCATAGGGTTTCCAGGGGGTGCCTGGTAGATACAAACTGCTGACCTTTTGGTTAGTAGCCGTAGCACTTAACTACTATGCCACCAGGGTTTCCTTTTCTTACCTGGGACATTTTTATTGGCCCACACACATGCAGCAACTTTTGCCAAGCCATATTTTCAAGGTGCTTCTTAGTGTCTGACAGAAATACAGAACTTCTTTTTTTTGGCTTTTCAATCTTTATGCCTTCATATTTTTTTTCTTTTTTCTTTTGTTTATCATTGTAGTTTAAATGAAGTTTACATTTCAAGTTAGTCTCCCATACAAAAATTTATACATACATTGTTATGTGACCCTAATTGCTCTCCCCATACTGTGACACAGAACTTCTTTTATTATTTCTAAAAATTCTGTGAAACTTATTGAAGAAATACTTTCCCTGCACTGCTTTTAATTTACTGTATAACACTATTCCATTTCTATAATACTTAACTACATATAAAGTGCTTTCACACATATTTGTTACGTTTAATCCTCACAAGAACTGTATGAGATAGGTTTTATTATTCCCAGTGCATATATGAGAAAACTGAAGTCACAGAGATTAAACGACTTGCCCAAGTTCATAGTAAGTAGCAGAATTGGGATTGACATACCTAGATCTTCAGGTTTTACTTTCAGTGTTCCTACTATTACTTAGATTGATGTAAATTCTAAATAAAGGAAACAGAGACATCTATGTACTATATTCTTCAATTATTAAAGATCCTATTTAGAAAATTATTGCATCCTTTATATAAAACTAGTAGCTGCTTGAAATCCCTTGTGGAATAAGGCAAATTGAAATAAATATGATATATTATGTTTACACATTTAGTCACTAAGCAAATTTTTATTGAGTATCTACTATGTCCCAGATGTTTTTGTAGATGCTAGAAATACAGTGAGGAACAAAATTACGTGATCTCTGCTCTCATGGAGATTAGAGTCTAGTTTAAGAGACAGATGTCATGCAAATAAATATAAAAATCAGAAATTCAGTGAATTTGCGGGTTTGATGAATGGATAAACAAAATGCGGTGTATCTATGCAATGGAATATTATTTGTCCATAAAAAAGAGTGAAGTACTAAACATACTACGACATGGATGAACCTTGAAAAGATGTGGCAGTCTGCTTCCTTAAAGATTTAAAGCTTTGGAAACCCAATGAGGCAGTTCATCCATCATACCTAGAGATAGAAAGTAGATTAGTGGTTGCCAGGGGCTAGGGTGAAGTGGATAGTGGGGTGTAACTGCTAACAGGTACAAGGTTTCTTTTGGGGATGATGGAAATATTCTGGAATTAGATAGTGGTAATGGTTGCACAATACTGTGAATATACTAAAAACTACCGAATTATACACGTTAAAATGGTTAAAATAGTGACTTTATGTTATGTGAATTTTATCTCAATATAAAAAATAAATACATTGTACTTAGGGAGTTTATAACAGGGATTCGACCTAGTAAGGGAAGAAGGATTATATTATCATTTGGATGCTTTCCACTACAAGGAATAGAATATTCTCAACTGCAAGAGGCTTAAACAATAAGGGACATC